CCAAAATGAACACCAATCTCCTGAGGGGTTTCTATCCCTCAGTGACTATTTACAGGCCCTCTCAGACTTAGCAGACGGGAAAACACCACTTTGGGTTAACTACTAAGTGGTAATGGAAAAAATACAATAAAAAATTATTAAATAAAAAAGTATATTTATGTACTAGTCTAGCATTTGCATTATTCTTGATTTTTTTCCTTAATAAAGAACTTCGAAATCAAAAAATTAAAATGTATTTTTGATATCCTAAATTAACCCTTGATCCTGAAAAAGATGTTCTTACAGAATTTTCAAAGACACATACAAAGAACATAAAGGAACCTACAGAAAAATCACTAAACGGGTTCTAAATTCTACAAAGCCAAGTAATGTCCGTGTGAGTGTGGAAGCGACTGTGTGGCATTGCGGAAGAAAACACCTGCCTTTAACTACAAGAGGAAGAAAGAGGGCACGAGGGCCACAGTAAATAACGATCCCTCCAGAGGACAGTTCAGAGAGCATCGCTTGCTTCAACAATTCAGCTTTTCATTTGCGTTCAAGACCTGTCAAGTATCGAGGAACTGCTACACACACGTGTAACATAGTAACGTACGTATAAATTCTTTGGAAATGCATGGAAGAATGTCTCATGAATTGTTCAATCTGGAATAAACAGCTGGTAAAAAACAACACTGAACGTCCTGAAAAGCAGGTGGGCCGGGCCCGGAGATCCTTAAATTCCTTACGGTTTATCCAGAATAAATCAAACTTTCCATTTAGAGTTACAAAGGCATATTTCAAGATAAATTATGAGAAAGTATTGCATGATCCTCAAATGGCTAATTTCAATCCAAAATTGTTAAAATAGGGTCCTTTAAACTTACCTTTCTTTGATGTTAAATTCAGAGAGAAAGAGAAACATCAACAAAGGAGGGGGGTAAAAGATTATTTACCAAGCACCATCACACAATGTTAATGAAAACACAAGGTAAAATAGTGCACCCAGGAAATAGGCTACTTACCAGTAAGTACTCTTAAGGGAAAAAGGATGGGGAAGGGGTGAACAGAGTTTAAAAGCAATGTTTAGGGTTTCAGATACATGGTATGGTGGCAGGCTGAAGTCGGGAGAAATCTTCCTTTTGATCTCTGCACACTCCTAGAGATTTGCGATTGCATCAGTTCGGTCTGCCCTTTGCCTGACTTTACATTCTTCTCTTGAGATCTTGCTTGGACTGACCTTAAACATACTGCTCCAGAGAAATCAGCCCAATGTTGTCAGGAACTGGCTTTCAAGTTACTGGCTTTCTCAGTAACTGATTGTATGGAATGCTACGGTTTGGTCAGGAGGCATTTGAGAAGACTTAGGACTTTGGCTGTCTCTTTTCTGATAATGAAAGGTTTTGTTGTTGTTTGCTTTTTGCTTTTAATGGGCTTACCATTTTTGGCTGCCATTGCATTATGAACTATGGGTTTGTCTGTTTGTCTTTTTTTCTCTCTCTCAGTTCCTAGTAAAAATCATGTCCACCTACTACTGTTTTAATAGCTCCACTGATTTTTGTCCGTGTCCTGCTATCTCTGTGCTTCTAAGGTCACACTTCATTTTTTGATATGCTTTTCTTTTCATTGTTAGAATACTTTTCACAAGAGATCAAAGCAAGCATGACAGTTAACTTTGACATTTGTGAGCTGAAAAAACTATGCTGTTTTTTTCAGAATAGTTTGATCTTGCATTCTCAGTTTGAGAGACTCCCCTAACTCTCCACCTTAGGAACAAAAAGTGGTTAACTTTCAGCAAGTTGTTCAGGACCCACGAGTCACCCTTACTATTGGAATCCATTTGGATTCCGACTGAGAAGGCACTACAGCTTTTGAAATCACTATTGAGGGTATCCATTAAACACCCCCCCAAAAAAATTCTGACTTAAACTCACATCTTACATAAAAATTAACTCAAGCTGGTTATTGACTTAAATATAAAATAATACTATTAAATTTTATGGGGGGAAAAGAGAAAATCTAGGGCTGGGCAAAGAGTTGTTAGACTTGACATCAAAAACACAATCCATAAAAGGAAAAACTTATAAATTGAATCATATCAACATTAAAAACTCTTGCTCTGCAAAAGAACAATATTAAGAGGACAAAAAGAAAAGCTACAGACTGGGAGAAAATATTTGCAAACCATATATCAAAGGACTAGCACTACCTAGAATGCACAGAGAACTCTCAAACCTCAACAACAACAAAAAGTCCAGTTAGAATGCAGACAAAAGACATTAAAAGACACTGCACTGAAGAAGATAGACAGATGGCTAATATGCACATCAAATGATGTTCAACATTTTTAGTTATTAAATAAATGTTAATTTAACAATGAGATATTTGCTGCACACTTATCAGAAGAGCTAACATAAAAAAGAGTGATAATACAAAGTGATGATGAGGATTCAGAGAAACTTGGTCATTTCTACATTGCTGATGGGAAGGAATGAAAAATGGGATAGCCCTTCTGGAAAAGATTATGGTAGTTTCTTACAAAATTAAGCATGCATTTACCATTTGACCCAGCAATGTTACACTTGGTCATTTATCTGGTGAAATTAAAACTTTTACATTCACACAAAATCTTGTACACAAATGATACTATCAGCTTTATTTATTATTTCTTTATTAGATAAGGCACAGATATATATAGAAAACAGAAATAATCTAAAGGGGCCTTGCTGCTGCTGCTGCTGCTTTTTTGAATATATCTTTTAATATCCCAAATATTTTAAAACAAAAAGTGAACAAGACCACATCTTCCTCTTTTAGTGAGGCTGTATCCTTAAAGCAGTTCACAAACAGCATGTTGCTCTAAATAGGACAACTGATATATTGATCTCTCAGTTTTATGTGTAACAGTCCTAAACTGGAAAGAACCCAAATATGCTTCAACAGGTGAATTGAAACAATGTGGTATGTTCCAACCATGGAATACTACTCAGCAATTAAAAGCAACAAACTATTAGTATTTGGGGGAATACTAATATTCCCCCAAAATTCATGTGTTGAAACTTAATGCCCAATACGACAGTATTAGGAGGTGGAACCTCTGGGAGATGATTATATCATGAAGGTAGACCCCTCATGAATGGGATTAGTGGTCCTGTAAAAAAAGGCCTGAGAAAGCTCCTTGCCTCTTCCATCACTTGTGGTTATACCAAGAGGAGACCTTAAATGAACCAAGTGGGCTCTTACCAGACACAGAACCTGTTCATGCTGGGACCCGAACCTCACACATCCCGCCTCTAGAACTGTGAGAAATACATTTCTGTTGTTTACAAGCCACTCAGTCTGTGATATTTTGTTACAACATTCTGAATGAACTGAGACATGAAGAGAACTGTACTAATTGAAAAAAAAATCTAATCTCAAAAGGTTATATACTATATGATTCCATTTATATAATATTTTTGAAATCTCAAATTACAGAGATTGAAAACAGATTAGTGGTTGTGAGGGGGGAGGACAGAGGAAAGGAATTGAATATGGCTACAAAAGGGTAGCACATGGGATCTTTTTGACCGAATTGTTCTGTACTTTGATGGTGATGGTCGCCACATAAACCCACACCTGTGATAAAACCGCGCGGAATAAATATACATAAAAACACAAACATACACAAATGAGTGCTTTGTGAAACCTGGTGAAATCTGAATAAGGTCCGTGGAATGTATCAATGTCAATTTTCTAGCTGTAATATTATAGGATAGTTATGTAAGGTTTCACCACTGTGGGAAACTGGATATAGGATCTCTGTATTATTTCTTACAACTACACGCGAATCTATATTATCTCAAAATAAAGTGTTTCTAAAAATCACTATACAGTTCTCATTTATTCTAAGTGTCCTGTCTTTTTAATGTTTCACCCATTTGATGCCTGATGTCTTCCTTGCCCAAACAATCTTTTTATTCTCTGTAGTCTTAATAGAGAAAAACATTACTCTAGCTTTCCAAAGCTTCTCATTAAGGGTCTACTATTACCAACTGGAACACACCCTTTGGAAACAACCCTACATTTGAATACTGACTCTTACATGGCATGAAATAGGCGAAATACTTTGAGTCTTAACTACCTGATTGGTAAAATAGGAGAAAACCTAAAATATAGGTTTATTGTGATGATAAATAAAATAATAAGTACTTGGCACATAATAAGTATTTCCTTAAATATTCACATCCTTCCTTTTCCCATTAACAACCTAAAACCTAGTTTAATTTCTGTATAAAAACAAAAAACTTTGGTTGTCTGTTTCCAAGGCTTATATTTGGAAAACAGGAAATGCCTCTTTAATGAGTGTAAATTGGGTTTCGGGGATGTGGTGAGCCTGAAGTCTGTTCTTAAGAAGTATTTCTGTTTAGGAGGCCAGAATGATCATTTTAAGCTTATGTTCTCACTCTGAGTTTGAAAACATTCCAATGATCAAATTGATGTATAAATGTTTTCACATATCATTCATTTTATTGTGATTAGTGAGTGGCTTCCATATGGGTGTTTAAATCTGTACACAGTAACTGATCATATACTAGATCACTTGTACCAGACGCCAACAAATGCATATATGCTGGATGAATTCAAGCTTTAAAAATGACATGGAAACCAATGATAGAATTTCATCCATTCCAACCTCCTACAAAAAAATACTTTTTATTTATTTATTACTTATTTGTTTACTTTCTTCTTTTTCTCTATGAATTTTTCCCTTTGCTTAAGTCCTTTACCTTTTTCACCCAGCCCCTCAACCAAAAATAACTTTTAAATAACAGGTACCCCACAACTTAGGCTTTAACTATGTTATATGTTTTTAGTTACAGCTCAACCAATTAAGCTACAGAGCAGGAAACAAAATATATTTAACTTCTACTGGCTACTTGCTCTTTTTATCAACAGTCATAAGACATAAAATGCAAAGTAAAGGGACAAAATCCCCTCAATTTTTTTAAGTACTGATATGATCTTGTAAAGCAAATGCTTACCGAGCAAAATAACTTTGTTTCCGTTCCTTCTTCTCTTCCTTGGTATCCATAATATGCAGCCAAAAGTGCAAAGTACTTGGCAAAGTTCTTCTTTTTAATCAATGAGTCATAACCCTGTAATAGAAAAAACAACAAAACGACTGTAAATTAAGACACTTACAATGGCCAATATTAAGAATAAGACAGAGTGGAGCTACATGGCCCAAAATAAATGGAAGATAAGCTTTAACCAGTCAACACAATCACAAGTCATATGAAACACAAAAGCCCATGCGGGACTAAAATCCTATAAATTAGACTGGAGGTGTTAAACTGAAAATTAAAAGGCGGCCAGAAAAAGAAACTGAAGTATTTTCCTCACAATTAACAATTATTTCAAAAAGTGCTAAAATGAAAACCACTGACTCTGGAAGAGTTTTAGGCTAGCTATGCAGAAGCTAATTATTAGTCTTAAAATGTAAACTCATAATCTCGTTTTCAGCAATTAATAATGAATGTGTTTCATACATATTATTAAAAATGGATCAGGTAGGTGTTTTAAAGGAATGTTCTTTCCTTAAAAATAAAAATACCACCACTGTTCTATTTCGTTTTCGGAAACATGCCAGTGAGTCCATCCCATCTGAGCAAATGTGGAAATGAAAGTACAAAGCCTCTGGAAGCTGCTCAGAATGGCTTTACATGCTTGCCTCTGCCTCTCCCTCTCCCCACCTCTGCTACCTTCACCTATGTTTCTGGGAGCAACTTAAACCTAGAATAAAAGGTTATCTCCAGATCCATCTTCCTTAAATACCACTTTCATCACCATACCCCTGCTCAAAATTTTCCAATGTCTACTTACTAACCGATTCACTAATCTAAATTTTCTGCAGAGTGCTAACCTTTCCTAAAAATCCATCTTTAAACCCTGAAGGGGTATCAAAGTAGAAGCGAAGAATGTTCGGCAATCAAATTGTTTGTTAATTCATTTCAGCTCAATAAACAATTCACAATACGTATTACATGGAAGGAACTGTGATAAGTAACAGAGCCCAAAAATAAATAAGATACGATATTTGCCCTAATAGAGTTTACTGTCTTGTAAGGGAAGCATCTAGGGTTTCAAGTCAATGGGATACAAGCTGCTAAGACGAAGGCACAGGCGCCTCTAAAGCCTAGAAGAGCACTCAGCCTCCTGCAGGACCACCCCAGGCACTCCTCAGCCACGCCAAGATCTGAAGGATGAGTAGAGCTTTCCTCGTTAAGGGGTACAGGGAAGCAGGGTCAGCTTGAACAAAAGCAAGAAGACATGATCCAGTACTTCCCTGCTATGCCATTATTAAAGGTGAAGCAGGGCACAGTGGAACTGGAGGATGAAGGCCAGGATTCGGGTCAAGGAAGACCTTTTACATCACGCTGAAGAGCTTGAACTTCATCTTAGCTGTGCATTATGTGCGGCTCACCCCCTTCACTGCACCTGTCAGGCGTCGCCGAGCAATCACACTGAACGCAACGGCAGCACTCGCAGCAGACATGACCGAACTGACCAGAGCTGGTTCAAGAGAATAAACATCTCTGATGTATATGAAAGGAAGCCACCACAGGATTTTACGTGAGGGAGCGATATGCACAGATTGCAGAAGATGGACTTAAAAGAGCTGAGCATAGGGTGCAGTAAATCTTTAGAAAGAAATGACAGTGAAACTACTTCAGAGAGAAAGCAGTATTTAATGCAGAAAGAGGGGGAGTAAACTCAAGAAATCTTTAGGAGGCAGATTAGTTGAGATCTGGTGACTCGTTCAACACACACAACATGGGGAAGGAAGAAATGAAGAATGTGCAAGTTGCTGCTTCAGGGACGGGGTAGACTGTGATACCACAGTGTACATGAGGGGATCACACTGTGCGTGGGGCGGGGGAGCCTAAACAGGTGAGAGATCAGTTTTGGACATGTTGTCTTTGAGGTGCCCGTGGGGCAGTCACCTGGAGACATTTACCAGAGATGTGATTACATCTAAAGCACAGGGGTGCAGTCAGGGCTAAAGAAAAAGATTGAGAAATCATCAGCATATGGTTATAGTTAAGGGGGGGAAACAATATGATGATGAGAACACCCTGCAACCATGAGAGCTATGCAGAAGGCCTTGTACGGAAACACAGTCCGGGGAACGCAGCGTGAACTCTTCTTACTGCTTTATCTCCACGTCCCTGACTTGGGCTCCACCCTCAAGTTTACCGACATGGAGCGAAAATAAGACGTGCAAATAACTAAAATGTAGGGGTAGTAACTTGGAGCTGTCCCAAAGACTACTACTAAGAATCCAAAAGACACAAAGTCCAATTTCGATTGAGATGTTAAAGTAAATCTTTCAGGACAGTGAGGATTTTAACAGTTAAAGAGGAGAGAAACAGCATTCCAGGAAGAGGGAACCCCTGAGCATAGGGAGGGACGTGAAAAGGGCCTGACATTCAGGCAAGAAGGAAAGAGTGGCTACCAGGTGGGAAAAGTGAGCGAGTCACGATGCCTGCCTACGGGAAGTCATTTCAACATATTTTCCATGTTATCTCTGTTAATCCTGACAACCACATATAAGTGAGGTAGCCATTAAAATGAGGCTGAGAGGTACTAGTTTTCCTAGTTCAACAGCAGCAGTTGAACCAGCACAAAGCTGGTTTTGTGTACACTTCAGTGCCTTTCAATAACTGTGGAACCAGAAAGCATTTTGATACGAGCTAGAAAAAAAAAATTGGAATCAACAGCCAACCCATATCTCAGCACGAATTCTGCAGATTAAGACAAATGCACCTGGGCACTGGGGGACTGCGTCAGCGAGACCTCCAACAGGGCCACATCTCTTCCCCTTTCCCCAAGCTTGAAGTAGCTTTGCTACAGCCCTCCTGCTAACCAGATCTAGCACAAGGTCCAATTCTGCTTTGAAGCCTTCTCTGACTGCTTGCATGCACTTGTCTCTCTTCCTTGGGAGCTTGTTTCACATGTCACTGATCACTTACTGGGAGACACTTCATCCTACGCTGGGTGACAATGGACAAGCCATCTCACTTAGACTCCCCAGCCACAAACTAAAAGTCCCTTCAAGTCAAAAACCACGTTTTACCTTATCTTTGTATTTCCTTTAATACCTAACATAGAACTAAGAAGAAAATCCACATAAAAGCTAAGAAACTAATCTACACTTGGGGTAAGATCAACTGATATAAATTCAAGGATTCCCAGAGGATGAAGACTCAAGACAACCTCTCTCAGACCCCAAACAGGACTAGAATGCCAGCTCTCTGCCCTGCCCTGGGCCAGGTGGTTTATTTTAAAGTTCTTCTCCTGCACACTACCATCTGCAATGATCTCTCTTTATTAGATTTCCCCTCATGAATAAAAATGAAGTCATAACAATCTAATTGGAAAATTTTTAAATTGCAAGCTGAGCCAAAAACTAATAATTAGTTCCACTGGAAAAATATTGACAAAAATAAGCACAAGAGAAAAGGATTAAATGATCTGAGGACTCACATCTGGTGCTGCTGTGTCACTTTAGAACTGGCAAATCTTTTTTTTTTTTAATTTAATATATTCTATTCGATAACTTAAAAATATGCTAATCTTTGGTTTCTTTTAAATTTCTGGGAATTTTTATATTCCTTAAACAAGACTGATACAGCCCTTTGAGCTCCAGACACAGCAACAGATTAACCAGAAAGAAATCAGCAAAGGATGCCATAAAAATGATTTGCACCACACAGCAGCCTTCATGCTTCGGTGAAGAACCAGAGCTTGTAAAATCCATCACTATTGCAAACTACATTTTCCATTATAAGTGGTTATAATGGGCTTCCTAAAAGCCCTCTTTCACCTAATGTTGTCTTTTCCTCACATGAATAAACTCTAGACTCATCCAAACACTGAATTACAAGTCTCCTGCATTTACGGTGTATTACAGACCAAAAAGAATTTTATGAGGGAGCACAAGATGAATCTTCTATCTAAATATTTATATTTTGTGATCTTAAATCAGGATAGTCAATTTAAACCTAAACTCAGTTCATTAGTCAAATAAAAACAGCACATCCATAATCCTTACCTCGTAGGAGCTGTGTTGAAGACAAAGTATGCCTGGATTGCCAGCACAGTGCTCCTTGTTTGACACCACAGTGCCACCAAAAAGAATCTAAGCACAGAGCTACTGGAGACTTCCGAATTATATCCAGCCAGTGTGGACCCACACAGTCCCGGGCAGCTTTTGGCTTCACATCTAACGCACAGCAGCCCCTTGTACATTCAGGTATAACCAGTCTAGGCTGGAAAAAAAACAGTATACTCATGATGTCCATCAACTGTTTTCCCCAAAACATGTTTTTACTATACAAATGAAATAATGACAAGAACATGCTTTGAGGCTTGCTCACACTAAGTGTGGCCATTTAAGGAACAGACCAAAATGTTTCTTTCTGTGCAGGCACTGAAAAGAAATACGGGGTCCAATACAAATAACGCCCCTTTCTTATTACAAAACCATAAGCATGTAATTCTGTAACATAACAATTTCACACTCAAGCACACCACATGACATTTTAGGTGAAATGTTCAAATTAAAACTATAAATTACTGCACCCATATTATTACCCTACCAACCACACTCAAGCAGACGTTACTTCTGCTGGACCCTGTGTAACGGGTGTTTGGTCTTTCTCAGAGCCACACTGTCATCTAAAACGACAAAGGAAGGATATTCAAATGGCACTGTTAACCAGTCAGAAATCTGAATATTCTCTTAGACATAGAATCAAATACAAAAGTATGCTACAAACATATAAGGGGAGCACCCAGGAGATAATGCCCCTAATAAACAAATGTGTACCACAGAAACAACACAACAGAAAACAGAACTTAACAGCAAGGAGGAGCTAAAAAGTTATGCCTGAATATAGGTGATGATCAAAGACAGACCAGTGGTCTGCAACCTGGGGAAATGGATGGCAAAATGAATGGAGAACTCATCAACTCTTACTCCATTATTCTTTGCCCAGGGAACTGAGATTAGACCTGAAAAGAATTAAACAAATGTGAGTGTCGGTGCTTTCTTACCAGTATGAGCAAAGAGATTGCATCAAAGAAGTTAGAT